AAATAAACACAACAAGAAAAGGAACTGTACCAGATTAAAACAAAAATACAGTAGTGGTATTAATGCTGAAATTGTGTAAGACATAACTACACTAAAATTGGCATGAGCTAGAAGATGGCTCTATTTTTTTTTTTACAGTAAATGCTCCCCATTCTCTATCTTCATCACTTCATGAAAAATCAAGAGTATTGCCCATTTTACTTAATGTCTTAATTAATGTCTTTTAGGAGTCACAGCTTGGCCACATTGAAATACAGGTGAGTAAAACAAAACCTATCTATTAGGAACATTCATCGCTCTCTAATGTCCTACTCTGGTTATTTCACAAAAAGAAATCTTATAAACTATTTTTGTCCATAATGGGATTTCAAAAAATAGACCTGAGGCCATCACATTTCGGCTCATTTAATTGAATAGATCGGTTTTTTCATTGTAGAGATACAGTAAGAAAGAGCAGCTTGAACATGCTTGGAGGAATTTGGGTGGAACCTTTAATTCATTCAAAAAGAGAACTTTACTTCATTCATTTGTAAAGAAAGGCACAATTATCCCAATGCTAAAGTTTTAAAATAAAATTAAATCTGAGGACTTTTAAGGGCTAGCAGGCCCTGCTCAGCCAGAGAAACCTTTGTCAGGATAGAAAACCTGATCCTAATCAGAGCTCAGAGATCTCTAGATAGAAACAGGTGTCCAAATCAAAGACAGAGGGATCCCAAATAAGAAGCATCATTTAGGACACATGCACTGATCTGGGAGTCGTTAAGGGAGCTGAGAAAGTAGCAATTGCTGGAAATGTGTCTGAAGAAGGAGGAGAAAACATACCTCCTTGCATCTTTTCCTGGCTTGCTCTCTAGAGCACGAAAAATAATTCCTGCTGGAGGATTGAGGACCCTTCAACTAAGAAAAAAAAAATGTTTAAGAGCATTACATGGCCTCAATGAAAATGTCAGCTCTGATTCTGCAGTGATTCCTTCTTTTACGGGGTCAGGGAAAATGACAATCAGCCTTTAAGCTTGTATAGTTTAGGGTCCTCCAAGGGTGATGGGAATCACCCATCTGTGATGATCTGGTAAGAGGACTGATCATAATTATTGTTATTAAATGTTTAAGAACCTATTGGGTCCTAGGCATCCTATGTAGGACACCAGGAAAGCTGTAATTTGCTCTCACTCATTCGTTTTCCAACCACAGTCTACTGCACATAAGAGAAAAAAAAATTTTTAAGGCTGTGAAACTGCCCTCAGATACTGCTTCAGAGACATCCTCGCCTATTTATAAAGATTGGTCATCTCAAATATTTTTAATTGTTTCTACTCAATTTTATTAGTTATTTCTAATAACTGAATCACCAGCAAGCAAATAGAAATGACCTTATATGTCTTACAAAACATTGTCATGTGCACCAAATACGATACATGTAAGTTTTACTTAAAAACAAAACAACAACAACAACAACAACAAAAAAAAAACCTGGTAACTTACACGACAGATGCCAGAATAGAGTCAGATCCTATAAATTTGAAGTGTTTATGTGGTGGTGCCTGCTTGTAATCCTGGACACCAGGGAGTCTGAGGTTGGTGAATCACTTGAGTTCAGGAATTCTGAGCTGTGCTGGGCTAAACCAATTGGGTGTCTGAACTAAGTCCAGCATCAATATAGTGAGCTCCTGAGGGCAGGGGGACCACCGGGGTGCCTAAGGAGGATCGAACCAGCCTACATGAAAGCTCTTGGACTGATCAAAAGTGGGATCGGGCCAAGGAGTAGTGGAGGAGGAGGAGGAGGAGGTGGAGGCAGAGATGAACAAAGAAGAGAAAAAAGAAAAGGAGGAGAAACAAGAGAAGAAAGAAAAAGGAGGATGAGGAAAAAGGGAAAGGAGGAGCAGAAAAAATGTATGTGTATCATAAAAACATTTGCTTTACAAAAGGCCAGCACGGGTAGAGAGACGGTTTGAAACCAGGAGGACCTGGGTGCAGGTCTGATGACCTCTGACACATATTATCTGGGCAACAAAGAGCAAGACATTTAACCCCACCAGCTGCTCTAGACAATTCTCTAATTTTATAAATTACAGAGCAGGTGCCCATCAGCACCGAGAAGGGGGCTTCCTCACCGAAAGTTCCCCATACAAATGAAATCATCGTTCTGAAAATGAAAATTTATTTATAGGTCTTCCACTGCTTAATTGGCAGGCCTGAGACCATAAAAATCAAAGCTCTTCCAAATTAATTATCATTCAAATACTAAGATCTAGTGTGTCCAGAAATTAAAGATGGAAGTTCACAAATCCCCAAATTAATTGACAAAAATTCAGTAGATATTTTGCAGTTTAGAAATATGCTGTTTCTAGTGTGTCTGCAGGGGCTGGGTCATGTGGTAGGCAGTGGGTGGATGTGAAAATTTTATAAGGCACCACAGTGTAGTGGAAAGAAGAGGAGGCTTTGTTTCAGTTCAGTGCTACAGGTTCCAGTTGTATTCAGTCATGTCAAATCTTCATGACTCCATTTGGGGTTTTCTTGGCAAAGATACTGGAGTGATTTGCCATTTCTTTCTCCAGCTCATTTTACAGAAGAGGAAACTGAGGCAAACAGGGTGAAGTGACTTGCTCAGATTTACACAGCTAGTAAGTGTCTGAGTCTGGATTTGAACTTGGGTCTTCCTAACTCCAAATTCAGCCACTGTGCTACCTGGTCTTTCAGATTTAGGGCAATGATGCCCAGCCTCTAGCACATCTTCCTGGGGTTGGAGCTGGTTGTATCAAACCTAGGGACTTCCCTTTATACCAAAGCATGATATGTGGAAAAGGCATAGAACATGGAGACCACAGACCTGGATTTGGATTCATTTTACTATCATTTACTGCTTGTAACCTAGGGCAAGTCATTCCATCTCTCTTTGCCTTGATTTCCTTATATGTAAAATGAAAGGATTTCACTTGATAACCTTCCAGCCCTAAATTGATGATCCTAGGAAAAAATTCCTCATACTTTGCCTTATAGACTTGGGGCAAAGATGGGGTGGGACTTGAGAGAGACACTGCTTTTTTTCTTCTTTTAGGTAAGAAGGGGGACAAATGGGGTGGGGATCAGAGGATTTGGGGTCAGTTCTTGGCTCTGTCATTTAACAATCTGTGACCTTGGACAAATCACTTAACCTCATTGGGCCTCTGTTTCCTCATCTGTGAAATGAGAGGATTAGACTAGATGGTGACTAATTTCCTTTCCAACTCTCAGTCTATGATACACCATAATTCTAGGTCCTCTCCCAAATGCTCTAACACTACCTTCCTTTTCCTACCTTTCAGCTTACAATTTGAGTTAGTGTTATTAATTGAACCAATTTGCTCTGGACTCTGAACCTTCTTCACAGTTGCTGTTTTTCCCCTAGTACATTGTGCCATCCTTCTCCCCTGCCCATCCCCAGGACTATACCATATCTTTATCTTCTTCACAACTGCTCGCCAGACTCATCCTTTCCATAAGACCTTTTCAGATTCAGCCACCAGCTTCATTTACTCAATTCATTCAAACAGGCCCCTAAACAAAATCCAATGAGTCACAGACTCTCTGGGAATAACTTCAACACTTTGATGGATTTGTGACCTCAGGGATGTAGGTACTTCCCCGGATGATGCCAATGGTAGCTCATGTGGTGAGACTCTTGTCCGGGCCTCCCCTAAAGTCTTCCAACATAGTGGAGGCATTCCATTGGGTCATGTTGCTCTGTCCCTGCTGTGTGGGGAGCCCTAGAGAAGAAAGCTGGGGCAACTTGGTAAGAGGAATCTTTTAGTGGGTAGCCCTTGGACCCCATTGTGTCCAAGATGGGGCAGGGTACACCATGAGCCATTGAGGGTCCTGGGGCTACAGCCGACGACTAGACTTGGCTCACTAGCTTCAGGCCCCACTTCTCCTTTCTGGGACAGTCTTAGCCATCCTCTTGCAGACCTTAGGGAACAGGCTTATACAGGATAGGGATGGGAATATGGAACTGGAATGTCACCACAGTCTGAAGGGAAAAGAAGAAAACTTGAATAGTGCAGGACTGACTGTTGAAAAAAGTGTCTATTGGGGACAAGCATCTTATAAATGATTCTAGTTTCATAGAACTTTCTCCATTTTAAAAGCAATAAGGTTGTAAAATTCTTCAAAATGAGTACGAAATGGACTGTAAGACTGTGAAGATCCCCTGTCTTTAGCTCTGCACGTATTTCTGTTCAGCTGTAATCAGTTTGTCCTGTGTCTGGGGCTCCATTTTCTATGGGTGTTTCTTGGGACACTGTGCTGTCTCATTCATTAAATGATAAGCTCCTTGAAGGCCACCCGAGTTGTTTTTAATTCTTCCCAGGATCCAGGTGCACCTGCTAGATACTAAGTTTCCACGAGAGACTGTCAGTTCATGAGAAGTGCTCAGTGGGAGCATTTACACCTCAAAAATTGGCAATACAAATCAGAGCTTGGTTTATCTTTTTGATGATTATCTAGGCTTAAGAAAGGGATGTAGAAAATGTTAACAATGCAGATTAAACTGTCAAGTATGCAGTGGGTACATTTTTCTTTTTGGAGGGGGGAGCTGGTTGTTAAACATTTACCAGCATGTTGATACTAGAGGTTCATTGAATTTGAGTGGGATTTAATGAAATGTTTCCATGGTGACTGTAAACATCCACATACTATTTCACTACTTACCCTTCTGCCTAGAATCTGGTTGATAGCTGCACTTTCTTTCAGAGTACACTCAGCTACAACATTCGCTCTCATCTCTTTCATGTATAACATAAAAGCATTCAGAGGTTTCTTAATGTGAGGTCTTTTCGGCTCCTGCTCCTTTCTCTGTTCATGCTGAGGCTTCCTAAAAGTGGGGGTTGGGGGTAGTGAGAAGAGGATCACGAGGGAAGGAAAAAAGAATATCTGTTTGCCATCAATAGCCAAACTTACTCCTAGGAATAAAATTGGTGGTCTCACTATATACTCATATGCCCTTACATTTGAAAAGATGGGACCCAGCTAGATAGATTAAACCTAATTATGTCAACAACAGAACTCAGCAAGCCACTGACTCTTTGTAGATAAAGGCCTTTACTAAATAATAAAACACTTCCCATGAAAAAGAAAAGGGCTGTAACATTCTTTGACATAAATTGGAAATGGATGGAGATATGGAAAGAGGCCCTATCCTCAGTCTACTTAATGCCTGAATTCTTTGGTTTTCTTGACATGAAGCAGAGTATATCAATGATGGTGCATGCTTCTTCGTAATCAATTGAATCAGTTGACAAATATTTATTAAGCTCCTGCTATGTGACTGGCATTATGCTAAGTACTGGGGATACAAAAATTAAAAGGAACATGTCCTGTCCTTAAGGGTTTTATGTTCTAGAGTCAGAATCATGAATTTGAGAATTGGAAGTGAACTCAATAGCTAATCAGTTCAATTCATACCTGAAAGGAATCCCCATAATTCCCTGATAGGGGTTTCTCCAATTTCTGCTTAAAGACTTAAAAGGAAGGGGAACCTCCTATTTTCCAAGTTAGCTAATTAGATCTTGGACAGATCTAATTGTTAGGAAATTTTTCCTAAAATCGATCAAAAATTAACATCTTTGTAACTTCCACACATGGCTCCTGATTCTGTCCTCTGGGGCTAAACAGAAGAAGGTAAAACCTCTTTTACATGACAGTACTTAAAAAAAAAAAGACAGTTATATTGATCCCCGAGTCACCTCTTCTCCTTCCACATATCAATCATATGACATGGACCCAAGGCCAATCACTGTCCTGGCTGCCCCCTTTTGATCACTCTCCACCTTATTGAGGGTCCTTCTATAACTGTGATATCCTAGAGCCTTCTGGACTTCAATCCTATTGTGAAATTAGGAGGGTGGTTTTGGCACTAAGAGGGTATAACCTGAAGCATGGGGCTCTTATGCCTCTAACCTCTGCACTACTGAGGCTTTAAACCAGAATGTGGGTGATGTCCTTAGTAAGGAAGGGTGCCAATGTACCAGTTTATTTTATATCGGCTTCTAGGACATGTGGTAGCCCCAGCTTCTTTACTGTATGAACTGAATTGGAGTGGGCACCCTCCTGGCAAACAAGTCCACCACTCATGAGTCAAGATCTGGAGATCCCCTTAGAGGAAGTAAGTTTTATTGATTGTCTTATGTTCTACTCCTTGCCTTCTGAATCATAAAATAAAAAAGAATGATCACTACACAGGGAATCAAAGCACTTCTTAGTGACTACAGAGACATAGCCAAGAAGGTACACTGGAAGCAAGTTTTCCTGACAAGAGAAGTGGGGGATGAGAGGTGGTGAGGATGCCAGGAGACCAGAAGCAGACTTACACATGCATTAGCTCATTGTCAGGATGAGTGTGCTCCTGTTTGACCTGAGGTGTTACGATAGCTGGATGAGGGATTCCAGTTGTGTGGGGACCTGGAGGGCCAGGGATCATATGATGTGAAAACCTAAAAGAAAAATGAAATAGATAAAAATAAATGCCTACCGATAAGCCATCATAGCAAAAACCAGGGAGAGACTAGTAAACAGGACACTCCAAAGAAAGACTCTAACACACTAAGTGCCATTGGGCTGACAGTACAAATATTGCTCATTGAATAAAAAAAAAAAAATTATTGTAACTGTATTTCTCCCCTTAAGTCATTTGATCAAAATTTAACAGCTGACAAAATTTCCCAACCAGTTTAAAGGATTGAGAAAAGATTCAAAGGATCATAGTATCATACATTTGGAGCCAGAGGGGACCTTCAAGGTCAACCCCGTCTTCAGAAGAAACTGAGGCCCAGAGAGATTGAATTCCTTGCTTAAGGTCATGATGTCAAGGATAAAAAAAAAATAAAAAATTTATAGCTAGATGGTTCTTAGAGGCCATCAGATCCAAGAGAAAGTAAAATTTTCTTTTTTTTTTTTTGAAAAAAGTTTTCCAACAATAATGTCAAAAGAATCATTTGTTTGGAATGTAACATTCCATACATAATTTTTTTATAATTTTAACAAGAGACCAAAGTAATAAACCAAAAAGGTTATCTCTCCTTTTGCAGAAAAATATCAAAGTGTAAGAACCTCCACCCCAGACATCCATTCAACTTTTGCTCTCTCCCATCCAAAGATCAGGAGAAGCAGGAGGAAATAAGAAAAAAGGAAGATTTCCTTCAAATAATAAACATAATTGAAATAGTTCCAGATACTTTTCTGTACTTACTGTACAGAATATCCCTTATACCACACTAGAAGGATTGTTTAAGAAATCATGACTTAGGGAAAATTGATAAAGAATTCAAGAAGACATTTTTTAATGAGTACAATGTTGTATTTGATACCAAGAGAAAGCAAAGTCCGTGTACATGTATTAAAAGCAACTCCATTTCCAAAGGCTTGCATTGCATTATAATGGTCTTAAAATATCCACCACCAATGAGCACAAAGAAGGGAAACCGCCATGCAAGAAAAACTAAACAAATAAGATTCAGAGGATCATATCCTTCGAGCTGGAAAAGACCTTGGAGGTCATCTCCTTTCAACAAGTTCTTTGAATATGTTTGGCTTCATTTAAGAAACTTTTGCTTTTCAAAGTGTTTTAAGGGTTTAAGAAGAGCCCTCCTCTTCCTCCATGGCCTTCCCACATATTCAAGGTTGGCAGTTCTCCTCAGTTACTTCAACCCCCAAATCAGGCCTTTTGGGAGGAAAAAAAAAATTAAGCTCTTTCATCTGGGAAGAAAAGAACTCTCATTGAATATGTACTATCTGGGAAACAAAAAAAAATTAAGACTGTAGGACTTTCATCAGAGAATGAATCTGCTAAATTTAGGATTTAAAAAAACAACATATGATACTGATTATTTGTCAGTGAAAAAACCCTGTCACCAGACAGTTCTAACAATGTGACTTGAAGTGGGTGTAAACTTTTTTTTCCTATAGGGGAAAGAGTTAATTTTGTTTTGGACTCCCTAACTGAAATGTTTATGATTCACCTAGAAGAGGATAAAGAAATTAAAATGAACTTAAGAAATCCAGATTAAAAATAAAAAAATAAAGTAAATGCTGATTACCATTTCTGAACAAAACAGTATGATGTCCCATATAATGATAGTATTTCCCTTGAGAAAGTCACACCAAATGCACAGATGATACATTGCAATCTTGTGTGAAATATATCAAGCACAGGATTCAGAAGCCATCTTTTCCCAGGTGCAAAAGCATTTACATAGAGCAGTTTTTAAGTGTGGCAAGGCAGGTCTCAGAGAGCATTGCTTGCACTAATAAGTCAACACATGGCCTGATTCACACACTAGTACAGATATCCCATAGGTACTGACAGCTTGTACACACAACCCTTATCCTGGGGCTAGGACGGGACCCTGCAGAATCTGCGTATTTTTTACCAACTACTCACGCTAGGCTGAACTTGAGACTCATGTCCAGGAAGCAAATTAGAGAGTAAATTACTCTTCCCCCTCCTCCCCAATATATCTTATTAAATCAAGCAAACTGTGACTGCAATTTGCAACATAGGAATATTTCACCCCCTACATATACATGGAGTGAGGAGGAGCCCTTTCACTTTGGGAGTAAATATTTACAAGTGTAGGGGATCACGGATCATTGGCATATCCGGTTTCTATCTCCTGTCTGCAGCATATGGCTCCTACCTGGGAAATCCTAATTAGCACTTCTAGTGTGGGAGCCAGGCAGCCTGTATCTACAGACAGACATGTTGTTGAAATTGAGGCACCGCTCCTAGCTGTCTAAAAGGCAAGCAGAGGCATACAAGATGCAAGAGAAAAGCAGCAGCTTGTATTCAAATGCCCCAGTTTTCCGCCTCCTCCACCTACCTGGACATGGAGGTGTCGACTGAGAGTGAGGATGGGTAGGGCTGCCTGAATCCACCCGTGATGGGATATACAGGCTGACCTTGCCTGAGGTCACAGAAGAAAGGATCCCATCAATAATAAAATAAGAGTTACCAACTAGCAACAACAATGAGAGGAGGGCAGGATTAAAATAATGTTGTCTGGGGTTTCAATAATTTCCCCCCTCCCCACCTCAATTTCTCCAGTTGTAGATAACTGGTTCCCCATCTCACTCCCACTCCCAAAGAGCCATTTTCCTTCAAGAAAAGCCAACCTCCCCCACATACCCCAGTTTAAAATATTAGTTAACACAAAGGCTTGTGAGTCAAGTCTTCTCTGCTAAAAAAAGAGAAAGTAGCCAGTCAGTGAATTTCATCTGAAAACTCTGCAGACTGTTAGGAAATGGAATAAAAAAAAATGAACAAAAATTGGATAAATCAATCCCAGTGACCAAACATTTTTACCCCACCCCCTCCCCACCTCTTTTTCATTCACATATTCCTTCATGAAACAAAAGGTCTCCTGTTTTTCTTTCCAACCTCCCTTCAGATCCCATCTCTCCTTCCCTCCCTCCCTCTGTCTTTCCCATATCTAACATTACATTTCCTTGCATACTTAGTTTACACCCCCTTTTCTAACTGCCCCTGATGGGACTTGCACAGGATTAATGCCCCCTAAGTAGCTAAGTTCAGAAGGAATAATTGATTCAGGTTTGAAAGTGTAAGCACAATCAATTACATTCAAACAGAGTTATTGACTGAGAGATTTAATGCTTTAATTAAAAAAAAAAAGACAACTGGCATTTCCAAAGCTGTTGGCCTTAATAGCAACCAGGATGACAATCCATAGTTAAAAAGAGAAGAGATGAGAATTCTTAGCACACTGCATAGGGGTAGGAGAGAAGAAGGGAAAGAAACACAGACTAAAGTTTCATCACAGCTACCAAAAGAAGTAATAGTACACTCCAAGAGGAGGAAAAAAATAAAAGATGAGGGACCATACACCACAAAAAGACAGTATTCTGTGTGTTTCTTCTTCTTTCTCTCAAATTACATTTCTTTTGCCTTTAAAGTTTTGGCTAAACAACAACAATATTTTTAAAAAAACAACCTTTAAAAATGAAATAAAGGCAAAAGTAAAAAAAGACTTTAACATTAAATTTCCAAGGGAAAAAAAGTCCTAAATAACTGCTTTTGATTGATGTTGAAGTTGAAGGTACACACCATCTTTCTCAAAATTCAAGAACTGTTTTCATATTTTGAATTTCTGTGGAAGGTCTGCTCTACTGACAGCTGACAGCTCTTTCTTCTCAGTCTGACATGATTACTTTAGCAAAAAAAAAAAAAAACAACAGTATATATGTTCACCTTTGGTGCTAGAAATTACAAGTTTATTCATAAAAAAACTTTTAAAAATGTTTTCCCTAAGAGCCATCTATTTGCAGTCATACCAAACGCCCAAAGCAACACACTGGATCCATCCAACTATGAGCTTCAAAGCAAAAATGCTATACATTTTTCATTTTCTACACATATTAGAAAACAGATTCAACCTGTTTCAAAGTCTACATGTTTTTAATCTTTTAAATTGAAATGAAATGAATTGACCACCTTCCTCACCAAGTGAAATTTTCTTTACTCCATGGTACTGTTCATAAAGTTAACACGAATAAATGAAAAAGGAAAGGTATGAAAGTACAGATATTCTACTTCCAAATTGTCAAAGGGTTCTTACCAGCCAAGAGGTGGGGTAATTTGTCCTACACCACTTGGAGACAGGGGATAAAAGGTAGGGATGTCAGGAGCTGGAGGATGTCTGGACATGCCTGTTAAGAAGAACAGAGGAGAGGTAAATTTTTAGATTCAACAGGCCACTGGGCGAAGAGATGAATGAAAAAAGAAATAAAATGCCCTGTGCTTTAATCAAGAGATGGGATCAAATTGTTTTTATTGTGGAAATTTGGAAGAAGTTGTAAGAAAAGCACTTTGTAAATGACTGTATAAACATGAAGTACTACTATTACTGTTACTATTATTATGATTATTATTATCCTCACTTCAAAGGGATTTGAATTCTAGGAAAAAAAACTTCATCTTGACTAATGCATAATATATTTTAGTAATTCAGTTACAACATCGACTTTTTTTGAGGAATCCGCGAAAGCACAAATGCACCATTAACTCAAACTCATCAAATCTGATTTTAGAAAGATGTTATTTATTCCATTTTATTTCCTTTTAGCTATACAACTCTTCTGAAATGCAGCATGAAACAAAGAGGAGGAGGATGGTACAGACAAAGTAAATAGCCTTTCATGGAGCTACTGCAGGATTAGGTAGGCACCTACTTTTACCAATTTTAACTGGCTCCCTCACGGATGAGATTTGGAAAATTTGCTACCAGAGGATCAGGGTTTAATTAGGAATCATCTTCAGTCTCGTAATGGTCACACTTGATATGATTCATTGGGTTTCTGACTGTCACTTCGTCTTCAGCTAAGCCTTGCACAGAAGGTTGAGACCTCTGGGCTTCAAGGTCCCCCTGTTCCGCAGCAGTTGCATTTCACAGAAAGGCAATGCCCCGCTAGAAATGTTCATCTTCCCAGCCACAGAGTGCCCCTTAACTGTAAGAAGCACCTCAAGATTAGACCTAATCCTAGTCCCAGATGACTGTCTTTTGCTCATCTTTTACCTAAGACTGTCTATGAGCAAGCCTATGAAAAGCTGTCATTTCATATGTTTGGGGAACCTAAGAGGGGAAAAGCTATTAAGGCTTCTTAACACATTAATTCAACTCCTTTAAAAGGCTATTTCAATATTTATGCTCACATTCCTGGAGGTGTGAAAACCGAAGAGACATACCCAGGGAAGGGAAACGGTACTGAGTGAATAGATGGCTGGTACGTGTGTGGTACAGGTAGACTGAGTATATATCCTGGATTCATGTGACGTTCACTTTCAATGCAAAATTCCATTGAGCTCCGTCGGGATTTTAGGAGGTAACAAAAATCTTGAAATTGAAAATGGAATAATAGTAAGCATTTATATACCTCTTTAAGGCTTGAAAAGGGCTTCACATATATTATGTCACTTGTTCATCACAACAACCCCAAGAAGTAGGTGTCATCGTTAGCATCATTTTACAGATGAGGAAATTAAAGCTGAGAGTGACCTATCTAGCTGGTCAGTGTCTAAAGCAGGTCTTCCTGATTCCAAATCCTGAACTGCTAGCTACCCGAAACAGTAGGAAGAACAAAAAAAGGGAGAAGGCTGATGGGAACAAGAAACAGCCAAGACTGAGCCCATGGGCAGCTAGGTGGGGCAGTGGAGAGAGCACAGGGCCTATAGTCAAGCAGACCTGAGTCTGGCCTCAGATACTTACTAGCTGTGTGACTCTGTGCAAGTCACTTAACTCTGTTTGCCTCAGTTTCCTCATCTGTCAAATGAGCTGGAGAAGGAAATGGCAAATCATTCAAGTATCTTTGCCAAGAAAACCCCAAATGGGGGTCACAAAGAGTTGGATACAACTGAAAAACAGCAACAACAAAAACACATGCTAGGAATTAGTAACTAAAAAGAACAGAAAAATCTCACTTAATACCTAAGTAAGCAAGCTGTTGCTGTTCTAGTCATTTTCAATCATATCCAATTTTTGGTGACCTCATTTGGGGTTTCCTTAGCAAAGATATGGAGTGAGTTGCATTTCCTTCTCCAAACTAAGCAAGACATGAGGACAAAGAGAAAGGTCCCTTACTTTGTTTTAATAGATCAACTATTACACAAGATAGATTCCTGTTTTTGCTCAGAGTCGGAGAGTATGGCTAGACAGCAGTTCCTGTGAAAAAGATGTGGATGTTTTAGTAGACCAGCAGCTCATTGTGAGTCAACCATATATCACCCCTGACATAGAAGTCTCCTATCTTCAGACTGAGTCTTTGAATCCATTTGTCCCCCATGAGTGTACTCACTCCTGCTTTATGCCTCTCTAAATTCTTGCTTGTACACACATACACACACACACACACACACACACAATTAGAATTTACCCTCCTTGATAGAAGGTACTGCTTCATCTTTCCCTTTGAATTTACAGCCCAGTACATGATAGGTGATTAATAAATGCACACTGCAGAAATATGTTTAATGTGATTGTATATATAAAACCTATATACCAGATTGCTTGTTGTCTAGGGGAGGAGGGAAGAAGAAAAATTTGGAACTCAAAATTTTACAAAAATGAATGTTGAAAACTATCTTTACAAGTAAAATGGGGAAAAATAAAATGCTATTAAGGAATAAAGACAAAATAAAGTAAAATGTAAAATTTTTTAAAAATGCATATTGACTGATAGTGGGCAAGGTCTCAAAGCTAATGCAATCTAAAACTTTGTTAAGCCAGGAAGACACTACATTTAGAAGAAAGAAGGTAATAAGCTTATTACACTCTATTCTTGTCTAACCGTATTTTCACTAGCATTTAATAATAGCTTTTAAAAATAATAATTATAATATAAATTAAGAATAAATAATAGCATTTATAAAGTGCTTTAAGGTTTAAAAAAAAGCACTTTGTATATGTTAACTCATCTGCTCCTCAAAACAACCCTGGGAGGTAGGTGCTATTCTTATCCCCCATTTTACAATTGAGGAAATGGAGGCAGAGATATGTGACTTGCTCAGGGTCACACAGCTATTCAGTATTTAAGGCAAGATTTAAATTCTTCCTGACTCCCAAGTCCAGTGGTCTCTCTAGCCATCTATCATCTGGAGTTTTGTGTTCAGTTCTGGTACCACATTTTGAGAAGGACATTGGTTAACCGGACTTGATGCCAAGGAGGGTGGCTGTGCCAGTCAGAAGTCGAATTAAAGGACTTCTATAGATGTATGTAGTATGGCAAAGAGTAGACTTGAGAGGGAACTTGATAGTTCTCTGCAAATATTTGAAAGGCTGTCAAGTGAAAGAAAGATTAGCCTTGTTCTGCTTGACCCTAAAGGGAAGAGATAAGAACTATGGGTGAATTTGAAGAGAGCTAGATTTTATCTTGATGCAAGCAAAGTCTGCCCTATGATAAGAGCTGCCCCCATGTGTAATGGGTTGCCTCAGGAGGGACTGGTCTCCCCCTCACTAGAGGGGACCATTTCTCAAAGATGCAGACCAGGGGTTCTTAACTTTTTTTCAATCATGAACCCATTTTCAATTCCTTCTCAGAATAACAGTTCTAAAAGCATAAAAAAAAATAGGGTTACAAAGGAAACCAGTTATGTTGAAATAGAGATGTATTTTTTTTTCTCATCCAAGTTCACAAACCCTTAATCTATATGTGCACCAGGTTAAGAATTTCCTGTTGTAGAGGGAGGTTCCCGTTTGGGTCTGCATTGAATTAGAGAACCACAAAAGCCCCTTTAGATTCTGAGAGCCTACTGAAGAATGTACATTGATAGAAATATGATTTCATCATTACGGCTTTTGCATTGATCTAGAACAATGGCGTCAAACTCACTTAAAAATGGGGGCCGCTAAACCATTTCTAAGGATTCTTGCAGGCTGGACAATGGTCTATTATATTTTTATTCATTTTATTCAATATTTCCCAGTTACATTTGTATCTGGTTCAGACTGCATTTGGAAATGTTGAGGCCATTTCATATCTGACACATATGATTGAGACCACAACCCCAAAGTTAGATTCCTTTGGTAGAGGCAGCTAGGTGATGTGATGGATAGAGTGCTGGGCCTGGGGTCAGGAAGATCTGAGTTCAAATCCTTCCTCAGACACTTCCTAACTGTGTGACCCTGGACAAATCACACAACCTCTGTCTGCCTCCATTTCCTCAACTGTAAAATGGGGATAAGAATACCACCTACCTCCCAGGGTTGTTGTGAGGATCATCTAGGATAATATATATTTTTTTAAACTGAAAAGAACCTTAAAGATCATGTAGTTGCTCAATGTTTCATCTAATTCTTTGACCATGTTCCATCAGCATAAACTAGGAAGACTGAACCTCATATATGCTGTTGTAATCACAGTTTATAACAAAATTAATGACATAATAGATCACAGTATCTTCGTGCTAGACCTGTAAGGAATGTCAGAAGTCACCTAGTTTAAACACTGAGATAATATTTTTAAAGAGCTCAGCAGAGTGCCTGGCACACAGTAGGTGCTTAATAAATGCTTATTTTCTTCCTTTAACCAGTCTGGCCTGGAATGACATGAGCTGAAAATAACTATGAAATCATGGGCTATTCAAAGTTATGGCTGTAGGAGACAAAGGGGGACAGGGAGGATGTGGGAGTGGGGCTCAAATCAGCTTCCAGAGGAAATGGGAAGTGTAGATTGACAATTGAAAATATTATTCAGGGTGAGGCATTTGGTTCTGACTCATAAGCGTGCGTGATGTTGCAGCTCCTGCCTTTGAACAGCCAGGGTTCTTTCAACAGTGGCCAACGCTTGACTCTACAAAATCAGTACACAAAAGAATGAAAATTGTAATATTTCAATACTTGTAGACATTTAAGGCTTTGTCAATGTGGCTACTTCCTCCACTGAAATAGGTTAAAAGCCCTTCATGCTTTAATAGAGCATCTTAACAAGTTTCTAGGGACAAAAAGAAAAAAAAAGCATCAATCACCAGAAGTGAGCCTCTATGAACTTTGCTAGATTTGTCCCCAGATGATAGATGGACAGCCCATGCTAGAGAACAGAGCTGATACTTCATTGCCTTTATCTTTGAGAATTCAGGGTTACCTCTAAGCCAAGGTGAAGAGCAGGATCTTAGGATTAAAAAAAAAATTGACACAAACTGAAAACAGGAGCATGAT